TAGCAGCTTTCTGTACTATAAACAGTACAAGGAAGCCAACTTTGTCGGGCGACTGTAAGAAAAAGAACTTTTTAATACTAAATCAGCTTCTCTTGCCTATCACAATATCAAAATATTTTTTCATATTCAAATAGAAAGTTTGTGTGTGTTAGTTTTATTATGCATTCATTCAGAAGTAAACATTAAATACAAGTAAATACTTCCTTTGATATCCAACAAAACGGTTCATATGTTTTTTTTTTTGCGAATTTCCCATATAGGGAATAAGCTATTATCGTAGTACTCATGGTAAGACCTGGACCCGGGACCGATTTTTTTTTCGTTTTGAGGTCCCTAGAGGCCAAAAAACCATCCGTTCAAATTTATATATATATATATATATATATATATATATATATATATATATATATATATATATATATATATATATATTTATATATATATCTTACTAATATTATAAATCTGAAAGTTTGTGAGTTTGTGTGTATGTTTGTGTGTATGTTTGTGTGTGTGTTTGTGTGTGTGTTGCTCAATCACGCATAAACTACTGGACGGATTGGGCTGAAATTTGGCATGATGATAGCTCACATTCCCGATTAACATTAAAGCATATTCTTATCTCAAAAACCCTTTCGGGCTCCGCCCCAGTGGCTCTGTAGTTCCCCATGTTAATCTTATGATTTTTCATATTTTAAAGTAATTAATGAATCTTAACAGCTGTTACAATTAAACAAGTTGGTTCTGTTCTATGATGTTCAATAACATAAAAGTTACAAGTATTACCAACAGGGTGCAGCACTATTATTTTTTTTATTTATGACAACAGCTACTTTCCAACCAAAAGGTGAGTGATCGTAGCGAACGAACTTCAACCTGGAGGCGAGTTAGCGTAGCGAACGAGCTAACCTGAAGGCAAGTGAGCGCAGCGAACGAGCTCCAACCTAAAGGTGAGTGAGCGTAGCGAACGAACTTCAACCAGGACGTGAATGAGCCATGCGAATACTTATGAAGTTAAACGGGGCGAAGCCCGCGGGTACAGCTAGTATATTATATATATATTTTTTTTTTTTTATTTATATATATATGTGTGTCCGTTAGCGCGTTAACTCGAGCAAAAATGATCCGATTTTGATGAAATTTGGTACAAACGTGTAAACCTACGTTTATTCGAACGAGTTCGCGAACCAGCATGATCGGACCATGGGAACGGGGGTTTATGGGGGCTTTTATGGGGTAAAAATGGGTTTTTCCCATTTTTGACCCAAAAAACATAAAATTTTGCAATTTCTTTCTAAACTATTTTGTAGAGCTTAAAAAAACAAACAATTTAGTATATTGAAGCGTTAGAATGCGCCTAATAGTTACGGAGAAAATTTCAAAAAATTGTAAATTTAAAATTTCCATGTTATTTTTATAGAGAACTAGCTGTAACCCGCGGGCTTTGCCCCGTTTAACTTCTTAATTTTCAAGATGATCTCGTTTGCATGGCTCAATCACGTCCTGGTTGAAGTTCGTTCGCTACGCTCACTCACCTTTAGGTTGGAGCTCGTTCGCTGCGCTCACTTTCCTTCAGGTTAGCTCGTTCGCTACGCTCACTTGCCTTCAGGTTAGCTCGTTCGCTACGCTCACTCGCCTCCAGGTTGAAGTTCGTTCGCTACGCTCACTCACCTTTTGGTTGCAAATTAGCTGTTGTCATAAATGTAAAAGAAATAATAGTGCTAGTGCTGCACCCTGTTGGTAATCCTTGTAACTTTAATGCTATTGAACATCACAGAACAGAACCAACTTGTTTAATTGAAACAGCTGTTAAGATTCAATAATTTCATTTCTCATAAGGTTAACATGGGATGGGAAACTCCAGAGCCACTGGGGCGGAGTCCGAAAGGATTTTTGAAATACGAATATGCCTATATGTTAATCGGGAATGTGAGCTATCATCATGCCAAATTTCAGCCCAATCCGGCCAGTATTTTTCGCGTTTACTTTTCCCATACATACAGCAACCACCTCTTTTTTATAATAGTATAGATAATTAAACTGTTGTAGTTTGCTTGTTTATTAACATATTTTGCCCAAATTTGGAAAATGTTTTTATTACTTACCAACTATTCACATTTTACATAAATAACACTTTTACCCTCCCTGTTGCAGCAAACCTAAGTATGTTTTAAACTGATTCTTTTTAAATAGGGAATAAATGTGATATTTTTAAGGAGACATTTTAGTATAAATCCATTCAGGGAAATGGAAATTCGCTTAGTCTGCAGGTTTGCTGCGGCGGGGGTATTTTATATATTTATGTCATCCAGCTATATTTTATTGATTTTCAAAATACACTCCCTATCTTTTATTTTATTCATAGTTGCAGTGTGAAAGCCACGCCGACTTGGAATAAGTGAGTTTGAATGTAACAAACGTTTATTTTATTAAAATTATTCAATTTTTTTTTAGAACTTTAAAACGTTCGGTTTTTTTTTTTTATTATTTCATGATGTTTAGTGAATGTTTAATTTTTTATATACAGGGTGTTTCAGAATTAGTATCGGATATTTTAGGGTATTATTCCTGTGTAAGAAACATATCCAAATATCATAATCAAACAGTCCGGAAGTCTTTAGTTACTCAAACAGCCGCCATTTTGTTTCTCCTCTAATATTTTTTTAAAAGAAGATGGTTAAACGTACGAAATTGAAACTTTGCAAAAACATTTCTGACCACTAGACAAAGCTACAGAAAAATTATGACAATTTTCCGAATACATAAAACAAAATGGCGTCCATTTAAAATTTTGTTTCTTAAATTACTCAAAAACCATCGATTTTATGACAATTTTACAAGAATAACTTATTTAAGGTAATTTTATTACAAACCGATTGACACCTTAATTTTTACAATTGGACGTATAATAACTGAGATATGGCAGTTGTTTTAGTGATACGTGACCGCTGGAGGTTAGTTGAGGAGCCATGCGGCTAAAGTCTGCCACAACAATGCAACAGTGCTCCTGCTCCTGCTGCTGCACGGGGAGACCGTGTTTTCATTGACATAGGCACGTTGCACACACACCGATTTTGGACGACCGGTTTTTTACCGGTCGTCCAAATTCCAATAGTGAACCACAGGCGGGAACGGGACCTTGCACACACGCCGACCGGTGATCGGCGCCGGTAAAAAGCCGATGAGCTGCCGGCCACTGCCACTGCATACCGCCGGTGCCGGGGATGTGCCGGCGACGCAGTGGCGTACGTAGCTAAATACAAGCTTGCACACACACCGATTGTTTGCCGACCGTCTGGCAGTTCTCGCTACACCATCCTCCATTTCAAGCCACTGCTCTTCTGACATTTTTAATTAATTTTGGTAGTGCGTGCTTATAACGTTTTAAATAGGTGACTTAATAGATAAGGATGCTATTGACATTTTGAAATAGGTAGTTGAAAATTTTACTGCTATCAAGCCATAGTTCTTAAAAAAGTGTGTGGAATGTTCCCGTTTTTTCTCTGCTTTTATTAATTGGATAAATCCAGAAGATACGTTTAATCATACAGCGCTTAATACCTACGTCGATACAATAACTACATAGCAACAACTCTTTTAGGATTAAGTATTCAATAATAACTCAATAACTCGTTTATTGAACCAGGTGGACACAATTACATTTATAGGTTAGGTCAAAATAATATAATATGCATTTTAATTGAACTTAGAATAATCTCTTAGAATAATATCTTAGTAATCTCGTCTCGTTCTCGATACAACAACAGAGACTGATCGTTTCGCCGATAAAAATCCGGTATGTGTGCAAACACCAAGATCCGATAAAATATCGACCAACTTATTACCGACCGTCCAAAATCGGTGTGTGTGCAAATAGCCATAAACTGTCATGTCTTTATTGATACTTATTCGTTTTAAATGTGGTTTCCACCATTGTACTCGTTATAAAAGTACGAAGCTTTTGATTTGTAGTTTTACGTCAGTAAAAATCCCGTTGTACCATTATTAAAATAAGAAAAGTGCCTGACTTTATATTTTTTTTAGTTAAATCTATACCATTAATACGCGAACACTACGTTTGTGTGCTTCAGTGGCTTTGAAAGCTCCCATGTTTCATAAGGAGGTGTACATGGATTGCTTACAAGCCACCATACCCATGCTTCGCAACGGGAAGAGAATGCTAAAGAGAATAATTTGTTTTATGAATATGATGTATAAAAAGTAAATAACTCATAAATAAAAGTCCACAATTTTGGTAAAGCACGAACGAAATCATTTTTAAACACGTATTAATCAATTTGGATTGTATAATATTAAGTGTACTCATAAAATACCATTAAAACTTTGCAAGCCGTCAGGGTAGTGTCCTACGAATTTTCCTAGTATTAAAATAAAAAATTACTCTGTCCCATAAGCCTGTTGTATATTGGCCCTATTCATGGAAAAATTATTGATATAATCCGAACTTTCACATCTACGATATTAGTTCTTTCCATTTAAGTCATTAACTTGATCATTAATGTACCAAAAGTTAGCCTATTCAGTGTATTTTGTAGTATTCAGTGCCACATTCACAAAATATCGCAAATCATGTAATAGATAATAAAAAAAAAACATATCTATAAACCATCCTACTTAGACAGTTCTCAATTTGTATCACAGCTTTTTGTTGCTGGTGAGTTAGCTGTTGTCATAAGGTCAGACAAACAATAAATAAATATATAAATAATAAATAAAAATACCTTTATGTACAAGCAAGTTTCATATTATATTATTTTCAAACTAACTCAAGTCAAAAACTAAATCTAAACTAGCCTAATATTTACACATATATACAAAAATTACCATGGAAAAACATGAACAATTTAAAATTAACCTTTGTTTTTTCTTCATTGCAGCCCTGAATGAACAATAGGATTTGGAGGTCTTTATGTCTTGAGGGAGGCCATTACACAACTGCGGGCCGAAATAAAAAAATACTTTCTTCCAATCTCAAACCTCACTTTAGTAAAGTGGGGCCTGCGGTCGGAACGAGTACCAAGCAGACAGATCTCCCCCTTGTAAATAAGCATCCCGCTGAGGTACCGAGGCTCTCCCAGCCTGAGCTCTTTGTGGACCAGGCAGCAGGTAAACCTCCTGCACATGTCATCCTTTGGGACACGTGGTCAAAGTTATTATGGCCAAAAATGAACCTTAAGGCAGAATTTTGAATTCTTTGAACTCTTGCCATATCCTCCTTAGAGATGCTGTTTCCATGCAGGGAAGCAATGTGTGAATGCTGGAAGGACCAAGGATCGCACGAGTTTCATTTTGACAAATTCTGGCAGTAAAGTTTTAAATCTGTTAATACCTCTCAGTCTACCCACTGTACCTTTAACTGCAGATGTGATATGGTCAGAAAAAGAGAGGTCTTTGTCAAGTACAAAACCAACTGTGTTGACAGTGTTGCAAAGAGACAATCTCATGCCATCAAGGGTGACTTCTATAGCAGATTTAATCAATTCCTCTATCAGACTGTGTAGTCCAGTATGCATAACAACACACTTGTCAACATTCAATCCGAGCCCATTCGTGAACGACCACTGAAAAATGCTGTGCAAATCAGTATTGATGAGCCGAATTGCTTCTGATGCCATGTCTGGCCTGTACGACAAGTGAAGTTGGCAGTCGTCATCATAAAAGTGTGCTGCACAAAATACCACACTTCTGAGCAAGTCAACCGTGTACAAGTTGAACAGCACCAGGCCTAAACAGCTACCTTGAGGAACACCACGCAGTTTGCAAAGCGGATCTGACGTCTCACTCCCACTTTTTATAACCTGCAGTCGGGACTCCAAATATGACCGGAACCAACAAACATCTTTTTTACTGCAACCGTAGCACTTCATTTTGGCCAATAATAATTCATGATCAATAGAGTCAAATGCTTGAGAATAATCGAGAATAGCTAATGTGCTGTAGTAGAGTCCTTTATCTTTGGCTTCGAATAGATCCGCAAACATATCAGTCAGTACAAGTGCTGTGTTTTTTTCCTAAACCCTGACTGTAGCTAACACAATTTCATTGACTATGTATACCTACAGGTATATATAGGTATATTGACTATATACATGTATATTGACTACATTCACTATATAGGTCTATATATATATATATAGGTGCTATATATATAGGACAATATAGTCAATGACAATATATTATACTCATCTAGAAATGAAACAATCTGTTTAGTTACTATATTTTCCATTATTTTTGACATTGCAGGAAACACAGAGATAGGTCTTAGCTGAATATATATGATTATTTTTTCTCGAGTTATCATGTTAATGGACATATATATATATAACTCGAGAAAAAATAATCCGATTTTGTTAAAATTAAAATCAAACGTGTAAACCTAGGTTTATTCAAACGAGTTAGCGAACCAGTAAGATCGGACTATGGCAAGAGGGGCTTATGGGGGGTTTTATGGGATGAAAATGGGGTTTTCTAATTTTTAAACCTAAAAACATAAAACTTTTCAATTTCATTTCAAACCATTTTGTAGAGCTAAAAAAACAGATAATTTAGTATATTGAAGCGTTGTTGTATGCCTAACGGTTATAGATTAAATTTAAAAAAGTGTCAAATAAAAAATTAAAAGATAAAGGACTCTACAGCAAATTAGCTATTCTAGATTATTCTCAAGCATTTGACTCTATTGATCATGAATTATTATTGGCCAAAATGAAGTGCTATGGTTGCAGTAAAAAAGATGTTTGTTGGTTCCGGTCATATTTAGAGTGCCGACTGCATGTTATTTAAAGTGTGAGTGAGACGTCAGATCCGCTTTGCAAACTGCGTGGTGTTCCTCAAGGTAGTTGTTTAGGCCCAATGCTGTTCAACTTGTACACGTTTGACTTGCCCAGAAGTGTGAAATTTTGTGCAGCACACTTGTATGCTAAGAGTGAGTTCTTTCTTTGCAAAATGTTCTCTAACACCTAAAGTTATGTCCTGTAAATATAACAATTGTTCTTCTACGTGTTGCCTTATTTTATTGAAGAATAAATCAATATAAAAGTTTGGGATACCCTTAGTGCATTCTTTTTGTGTACGGAATCTGCGTCCAGGATTAATTTTCTGACATAAAATGAGGTTACTAACCTGTTGTCAATCAATCTTATCGATATATAAACACAATGGAATACGCGCTGTGTAGCAGCCGATTGGTACGGTTACAGACAGCTCCCCCCACCACAGTCCGGTCATGCCTGCCGTGCCGCCATTTAATGCAATGTTATCGTACGCACTCCATCAGCCAATCCTTGTCTCTTAGCCCGGAAGGTATGGTTATCTAGAGTGTGGGGGGTTCTCCCTGGAACCTCAATTGAGTTAAGGGTGTCGCCACCTTTGGTGGATAGGTTCATCCTGGTAAGACCAACTTCTATTCCTGCCTCCTTTTGGGAAACCCTGATGGCCTGGCAGTGATGTTGGGCTAGATGGGCAAACGAAGTAGATCGGGTGCTGGGTTCAAGCCAGCTGGGGGTGTTCGGGGATCTATCGCCCTGGTCACCTCTGGTTTCCCAGCAACTGGGTAAGGCCGCGATTGGGTAGTGGTGGAAATGGGGGGTTGGGGTTCCCCCATCAGCTTGCTGGCGGTCCCTTTCCTCCTCGCTTTGATGGTGGGTTTTGGCCTGTCAGGGATTGGATAGGTCCCGAGTGTTGCTTGCACTAAATACGTCAGGGCATTTCATTATGGGACTTCAGGTTTTGTACCTGCTGGTTCCAGGTGGAGTGACGCTTAACCAAGTAGCCGGTATCCCTCGTTACGATTGAGGGGTAACCCTCTTTCCGAAGGGTTGCTTCGGCAGCCAGTGAGCCTGAGGACCTTAAGTCATCCGCCTATGGTGTGCCAAGGTTGGTGCGTATGCTCCGGCCTACACCATGGGACCCGGGTATGTTTATTATAGTTATCGGGTTGCAGTTGAGGGGCTTCGGCTCTTTCGACACAAACAAAATGCAAAATGCAAAAAAAATTTGGGGGTGGAATTAAAAATTATTTATTTAGATAGGTTTGGTGTGGTGCTACCTTCTACAGATGTCTTCAAGACGAGCGGGGTTCCTTGGTAGCAGCGTGGAGCGTGGATCCGGCGTCTCGTTCTGGGTCAGCGTGAGGGCAAAGATGCCGGGGAAATGTAATAGGCTAGACTGTTATGTAAACTTGTATATTAAAACATATATTTAGTACATAGGCAATGACAAATCATAGTGCCGGTGGGCACTAGCGTGTAGGTGGGGGCGGCCAGTCACTGCAACATTTTTACTCAATTGACGAGTTTTTTGCCGATTTCACTCTCCTCCCTGCTCGCCATTTGTACTCTGTAAATATTAATGATAGTTAAATGTTTTCATATTCAATTTTATGTATGAAGTGATGTTTTAATTTTTTTATTGACATGAACAATCCAGTCTTCTCTGGTAAAAGTTCACGACAGAAGGTAAAGGTAAAGGTAAAGGTAAAGGAGTCCGAGTGCAAGTGGCGTCGTCCTGTCCTTGAGGGAGGGGGTAGCGTTGAGTATCAGCTGTATCTTGGCGGCAAATTCAAATTGGTAGCACCACATTTTTTGGGATGGATGGAAAGGAAATTCAATAGCTGAATTAATATTTTTTTAGGCTTAGGCCCTAACACTAACCGTTTCCGATATCCCAACGGTGGCCTCCTTGAGTTGATCACTCTGTATATGAATTTTAATGGATTGTGTTTTTGGCCTCTAGGGACCTCAAAACGAAAAGGTAAATCGATCCCGGGTCCAGGGACTACCATGAGTACTACGGTAATAGCTTTTCCCCATATGGTAAATTCATTAAATATGGTAATCGAATAAACCATTTTGGATATAAGTGTGATTTAGTAAAACCTTGCAATTCCTAACGTTGAGTTGCATGGAGGGGGAGAAGCACCAAAGGGATTTTAGGGGACTTTGTATAAAGTGTACATCTTTTTGTGTACTAGCCAGTGGTATATAGTTTTGCCAGTCTCTAATTTATTACGGCACAAAACCTTTACTGACTGGGCTAAGTCAGCAAAGAGTTTTAGGCCTAAGGTTTTGGCTGGTTCTTCAAGTAAGTAATATATTCTGACACCAATGTAAATTTTTATTCATCAGACAAAGTGCTAAAAAGACAATACACAAAGAACTCAATAAGTAGCTCCAGATTGTTTGCAACGTCAATAAAGATCAAGGTTATGTCGTTTATTAAGCTTTTATTGAATATTTCCATTTCTTCCCCAATCTTTACAAGTTTAGTAAAGCAAATTATAAATACCAACCTGATGTATTTTTTAATACTGTAACATTATTGATACCTGTCACTAGTCAAATTTCGACAACAACTACACTAGTTAAGTTAAACTGTTTAAAGAACAGGATTCTTGAAGTTGTTTTACTTACTATACATATTTTAGAATGTTTCTTCATATTTACCGAAGACCAAGAAATTTGTTTGATCAATTCATTTCTTAATTTTCAGCTGAATGGAATACTTTACTTAAGCACACCTGCTGGAAAATGGGAACATGTCTGGAATAAATGTCCAATCCAAGAAGAGAGGAATGAGTCGCTCCAAAAACCTTTGGATTAAAATAAAAGTTAATCATTCTTAAATTGTTACTTTACATTTTCTTAATCCCTAAATAACAAATATACTGTATTTACATGACTTTAAGAAAAGCCGTAACGAAACTTATTTCAATCCCCGTCTGCCTGATTGCATGCAGCAGCCTAATCAGGGAAAATTAGAGCACTGATCAAGATTAATTTTTTTAACTGGATAAACTAAATTGGTCCAAATGCCTTTCGTTAGGTACCAAAATATGGCCTAACGTATTTGAATATCAAATAACCAGTATTCAAAATCCAGTTTTGGGGGGATAGTAGATATAATTTTCTTTTAGGATTTACATACATCGTTTAAGAAGTACCAGTAAGTGTACTATTTTACTAGGAATTAAGTGAATGGACTGTTTTATGTCATAACTCAAACTCAACTAACTTTATTTACCTTTCTACAAACATAGAATAACAAATAAACATATGATAATAATTAATAGAAATTAACAGGTGTTATGAAATAAACTGTTCTCACAACATCCTCCCTTTTAAGT